ACACACAGACTGTGAGTCTATTTTCGCAAAAAATGGTTGTCTGCTTTACAGGCATAAAAGAGAGAAGGAAAAAGACCGTGTAAGAATTGGCAACACGGTAAGGTTCTACGTAGGCATTACTATCGTTAAATGCTCTATATAGCCCGTAATACCCCGCAACTACTGGGAACAACGTGGGTAGCCGAAAGGCTAACTGTTGGCCTACGTAGCAAATATAAGTAACTGAACACTAATGTTTCGCGAAAACACTAGGAATCCAGTAAAGAACGTTAGATATGCGAGTGACTGCAGGACAACTTATAATTAACTAAAGATCAGTGGGCCTCGGTGTACCATTTTCAGTAGATACCGTGACACATGGACTGTTAGGAATATAGAGCTTAGTAACTTCCAAGCCTCTATGTGGTTGCGAAGTTTACATCAAGGCCGAATAAGCTAGATCTACTTGAATAATATAGGAGACGGTTAGGAGCCTTTGACTCCATCTGGCCTGAAGAATGCACAAATTTATTAGAAAATGCATCGCGTTTTATCTCTTAGAACCGATTGTCTTCATTCATGATGCTGTCTCCAGCAACAGCGAGCTAGAGGAGCCAGAGAGAAATTTAGCAACATTTAGCAACGTTTAGCAAAGTGCTTCGATGCGTGAAATCCATCTGGGTTTGCGTTGGTGGGGCATTACCAACTACTTCTGGGGGCTTAGCTTGCGCGAACATGAGGGATTATTTTGCCTCATATGTTGCTACACACTATGGTGCAGCCCCTTGGTTAATTTCGAGCTATTTCTCTCCGATTTTAAGCTCTGATGACAGTGCCAGCTGTGTTCATCCAGGTGGCCATGATAACTAGTACTGCAATGTCGCATCAGCTAGTTCCTTGTTGGTTTTCCTGGCAAGAGCTGTTCTAGCACCCTAAGCAAATAGTGACATGAAAAATCAAGTGTAGGATAGAAGTAACAAAACAAAAGCGTGAGCTGGTTGTTCACCTACCATTGCGCACAAAGCAAGGTTGGCGTTGTAGTCAGGTAAAAGATAAACAACGCACGGGCGGCAGAGATAAGGAAAAGTTGTGGTAAAAATTTGCTTGTTGTCCAACCAGCCAGTGTGTCAGAGGCATTTCTCGCGCTGGTTAGTTTTCTTGCCAGTGAAATGGAATCAGGAAATGCGAAGATTTTTATAGCAAAAGCGATTAAAGAAGCGGATCTAGTTTCCATGATGACTGTCTGCTAGTGTTGCCAATAGTGATAGGCACATGTTTAACGGAGAAAGCTAAATATATGGGGCCAAGCGAGGATAATTGCAGGGCAAAAGGCTTGATTCTGCGGCTTCTAACTTTTAAAGTGGCCTTGCTCTCGACAAGGTAGAAGAAATACATATTACTTTGCGGCAATCATACCGATTGTAGTGGGAAATGTCGGAGTAAAGTAGCTAGTACTCAGGCTTAAGTAAAAGGCACCAATTAAGTCTAATTAGCAACGGACCTTTACCATGCTACGCACAGATACAACTAATGCTGTTATTTAAACGATGTTTTGATAAATTTTAATGGTAACCGTAGGTGTATGAACAGCAACAATGGATTCTAACGTATTATACTTGGATTAACTCTGGTAGTATTCCTTTACTGGGCGTACTTCAAATAAGCAAATAATTAAATTGGTATATTTGCCGACAAGTGGCACACAGCCCCATAATCGGGAAGGATCATGTACTAATTTGGAAAGTGATGAAAGGGAAGGCTGAGGATAGGGAAGGAAAGTGTAGATAAGGTGCAGGGATCGAAGTTTGCCTGCCCGGAGGGCTACATCATTGCCAAGAAATTTCCTATATTAGTAATACCTACAAATTTGCGACCCTGCCAGTCAGTTGGCTAGTCTGTACTGTGTATCGAACGTTGGAAACCTTGCCAAAGTGACCATTGAAAAAGAGAAGACGAAGCGCTGCAAATACGGATTGGTCCATGCAGCCTTTAGACCAACGTGTCAGTGAGGGAACTAAAGCAATTCAGGAAACAATCAGAAATGGCTAAATAAATTTTGTCTCCAGAATTCTAATCTTATCATTTGTAAGCTGCGTGCAGCTGAGCCAACTGAGAACGCTTGGGTGTTGTGATTGTGGTAGTGGAATAGTTGAAAACATGGGGTTATTGTTGGAGCTACTTCATTGAAGTTAGACTACCGATTATCCCCTACAGGATACTTTTGTGGTGGCGTCTACGCTTTCCATAGTGAAGTCATAAGGCGGAATTGTCCTTAGAGGAACTCAAGCAGGTCAACAAGAGATCGTCAACGACTAAAGCCAGCTTGTACACGGATTTCTATTCTTAAAACAGGGAAAATGAGTGCGACGGATACAGCTAAAGTGGTTTAGGTGTTATGACAGTACCGACAATGAATGTGGATGTGTTGTGGGCTCAAGGTGCTATATGCCATGTACTACATCGTGGGAGACTTCAAACGACCTCAGGGCCAGTTTCTAAGAAGAGGTCTTGCGAATCGCAGATATTGAAGCTGCGTTGTATATCGTCAACACATAGGAATTTTTGTATCTTCTTCTTGAATGCCTGCAAGTTAGGCACCTCTTACTCTGGACGGCAACCTGTTCCATATGTGCGCGGTACAACTGAGAAGAAATGAGATCGCACTCTGCTTTTACCTAAGCGGGATAGCGGAATGGCCCTTGTTTCGGAGTGTAGATTAGGATGCGCTCCTTAGGTTAAGCCAAGTAATATTACTGTGCAGCTTTTTATGAATTAGCTTATATATGAAGCACAGATTAAGGGTAACGCGCCTTTATCAAATGCGCTAACTTTCAAGGTGTTCTCACCTTTCTCGACAACTCAGCGCTTGCTGTGATGGAGTCATAAACTTCCTAAAGCGCCGCTGATCTTTCTCAAGCAGAACACAGGCCGACTTCCGTAGGTTG